GATTCTGCCCAGAGCCTCCTTTACTTACAGTCTGCTAGCATCACTCTGATCATTCTGCAGACGAGAGGAGGCAGGACCAGGCTGAGTAACATACCCCTATCACCACAGTGCTGGGGCCAGGCCTCAAATTCAATCCTCTGACTTGAAGCTCATTGCTTCAACACATCACCTCCTAGTTAAATGAAGCCACGTCTCTTGCCTGACTTTGGACTGTTTCCTGCACCACACAAGATTGAAAATGAATATGGAGCAGAGATTTTTTAGGACTCCAACCTCAATTGGTACAGAGGTACTACCCTCACTGCCCACCGTTTGCAGGGGTCATGTGAAGAAGGGAAGTCCACAGCTTTCTTATAAGCCGTAAGAGCCAGAATTTGAGCTTCCAGCCTTCATGGGTTTCCATTTCCCAAGCTTAATCCAGAGCTTGGCCAAGCTAAATCCAAGAAATTCCTATTTGGCTTTTTCTGACGTAAGTGGTATGATCTGATTTAGATTTCATGACTGCCTATCTCAGCCAGTCGCACAGTAGGCTTTGGTCTATGATGGATTTAAAATATCTTCATTATAGTATTTAAAGGCTATAGAAGTCATCCATTTGCTCATGAAGAATTATAAGCAAAAGAACTACACTTAACCTTTTCTAAATGCCCTTGCCAGACTCAGCTCTGATCATCAATAACTCCATTATCATTGTGTGCTTTCGTCCTTCCTATGTGATGACAACCATTCTGATGGGGTGGACATTGTCAGGGGCCAGCTATTTGGTTTCCACATATCGTCACATAAGAGAGTTACAGCCACCAGTGAGCCTTCAGGGTACCATAGGTCTGTGTAGTCACGCCATCACCCTTTAACAGTATCCAGACCCAAGTTACTGGGCTACCTGCGGTTAGCAAGGGCATCAACTGTGCTCACTACCATCCCCATTAGATGGAGTCAGATGAGCGTCTTCCCGCCACTGGTCTGTCTCCAGTGGGACCAGGGCTATGTGCGCCCTAGGACACTCTGCTTGTCCACCCACCGTGAATCCTTTTAGAAGATTAAGCTGTATTCTTTTTTCTTCCTTTTTTTTAGAGATTTTTTACTATAGGACATGTATAATCTCCGGAAAGAGAGAGAGAGAGAAAGCAAGAAGTCACCCCCCTGGGGGTATGGCCATGTCACAATCCCTTCTCCTCTGTTCCTTTCTCAGGATTTGGGGCACACACGCACTCATGCCCACTGTGAGTTTCAAGCCTCCAGGTCCAGGACTCGAACTGTGGTCAGTCATGTAGGTGTCCAGCAGCATAACCACTATGCCTCCTGCTAGCCCCTAAGCTGTATTCCAATATCCATAAATAGCTCAGTATATGAGGATATTTCAAAAAGTTTATGAGAAAATAGAACTAAAGTATGAGTTTATTTGGCACCAAAAAGATTTTCAAATCCATGCACAGTAGTTTTTTGTTTTTTTTCTTTGAAGACCACCTGTCTTTCTGTCATTTCTGAACTATTAGACCCTTCTGGAATTCTCTTTTCTGTTGAAGTGAATCACCATTCTAATTTTCCCACCCACTGTGCCATGAAGCATTTCTGTTTGTGAAGCGCCACATTCGCTCATGCTCAAGGGGCTGAGTCCCTCCTCATAGGAGGGTGTGGACATAGCTTACTTAAAAATATGGTCGTTGGGGAACCAGCAGTTAGCGTAATGGCTATGTTGCTGGACTCCCACGTAGTCGTCCGCAGTTCGAGTCCCAGACCCGGTGGCTTAGAACTCACACCAGGCGCGTGTGCGTGCGTGCCCAAGATCCCAAGAGGAGAAAGGAGGAGAAGGGATTGCGGCATGACCATCCCCCCAGGGGGTGATTTCTCGCTTTCTGTCTCTCTATCTCTCTCTGTCTGTCTGGCAAGCGCACGCGCCCTATAGCAAAAACCTCTCAAAAAAAAAAATATATATATATATATGGTCGTTGATGTGAGGACATGCGAATACAAGCGACACCAAGTGTTCAGACCCACCAGCTCCTCTCTCAGCGTGTGACAGTGTCACCTCTCTCGTAGTCCGTTTTCCTATTGCTGTAACTGGGCAATTCATAAAAAACGAAGTGTGTTCCATGCACAGTTTTGGAGGTCTGAGGCCCAGGGACTGTATCTGGTGAGGCCTTTCTGGCTGACTCCACTCTCTGTAGAGTCCTGAGGAGGTGCAGGTCATTACATGGTGGGAGGACAAAAGTTTCTCTGTGTCTATCTCAGGTTTGACCTCCTTTCCTCTTTTATTACTAGTTTTTTTAATTGCTAGAGGGTGTGTGTACTCACCAGAGAGAGAAGGAGAAAGCGCTCCTCCGTGGGACATGGTCTTACCACAATCCCTTCTTCATTTCTCCACATGTTGAGATTTTGGGAACCGAGGCACTCCTATTTGGCATGTTTTTAAAGCTGACAGGGCCAGGCTTTGAATTATAATCAGCCATGTGGAATCTGGCTTCCTTAACCACTTGGCTATTGGGTCAACTTGGCCCTACCTCTCAATGCCACAGTCAGATAGAGATTTTCCGCTTTTAATTCTTTCACAGTGTAGTCAAGCTTCCAACACATGAACTTTTGAGGACAGTCAAGCTGTCACAACTTCCTGTAAGGAGGTGAGAAGAAGCAGGGCCCATAGGAAATCGTCAGTATCAACATCTCCATCTCTCTAATGGGGAAACAGGCATTTTGCCCTAAGGTCCACACATCTAGGAAAAGGGAGAGACAGGATGCACCCTCAGAGCTGGCTGCCTGCGGAGGCCTGCAGCAGGGTTGCTTTGCTCTCTGTTGTTGTTTTTTTCTTCATTAAAAGCAATGCAAACACAAGAGCCCTGAGAAGGTGGTAGGGAAGCAAGCTGAATGCAAGAGCCCCCTGGATACAGCTCTGGCCAGCCTGTTCCAGGGCCAGGTGCACTCTGCTAAGGACTCACCCAGCAGAGTGAGGCCCTGTGCCCGCCTGCAACTCCCCACGTGACACACTAGAGTGGGGCATGAAACATTTCCTCTGCCTCTGCCTGTGCCAGGGGCCCTGGGCCTGAGGAAGAATGAAGTATTCCAGAAGGACGTCTGCAGAAAGATAAATTTGTTTACCACTCTTGACCCTCTTACTCCATTTCACTTCTCAGCAGCAGCCATGCTGACAGGGATGTGCTTGGCACAGCACATGCATGTTCATGTGTGTCTCCCCCAATGCACGCCACAAGCAGAAACGTACTCTGCATCACCCTTCACCCTGCTGCTTTGACATCTCAGTGTGTCTTGGAGATGTTTGTGTCAGTACCGACAAACCTTCTTTTAGGCCAGTCCCATAGCCTAGTGGTTAAGGGATCTGGATCCCACATAACTGACCATATAGTTCAAATCCTGGCTCCAGTGGCTTGAAAAATACACCAAATGTGTCTGCGTGCCCAAAATCCTGACGGGATTGAGAGGCAGAGGAAAAGCGAGTACAGTGTGACCGCACCCATTGTGGGTGCTCTTTCTTCTCCCTCTGTCTCTGGCACACATTCGCACTCTGACAGATGAAAGGAGAGGAGGAGGAAGGAAGGAAACCCGTCTCTTTCTTTGCTATTATTTGGTTTTGAGCAGTTATCCATTTAAATACAGCTTTTTAAATCGTTTGGAATAGTATTTATTTATTTATTTATTTATTTATTTATTTATGTATTTATTTTTGGAGAGGTTTTTGCTATAGAGCTTGTGTGCTCACCAGAAAGACAGAGACAGATGGCGAGAAATCACTCCCCTGGGGGATGGCCACACTGCGATCCCTTCTCCTCCATCCTCCTCTCGGGATCTTGGGCACACACGGACACGCGCCCGAGATCATTTGGAATCCTTGGTGTCTCCTATGATGATACTGCTGTGCTGTACTGCTGGCGTGTGTAAGTTTCTTTGCACACGTGTTCCCATTTACCTGTGGGGTGAATTCCTACAAGGGCAGCAGAGCCCAGGATCCTAACCACCCCTGGGCACTCCGGTGGCCTGGCCCACCCCATTGGAGTTAAACCCAGCTCCTCAGGTCTCCTGCACAGAGGGCCCCTTCAGCAGGCTAGGTGGCCGGGGAGTTAGAGGAGGTCTGCTAGTGTGCTGTGGTCAACGTGCAAGCAGAGCAAGCTCTGGGTGCCCATGCAAAGTGTGCAAAGTGTGCTCCCATCCCTGGTTACCGACCCAGGTTGCTTTGGGCACAGCTGAAATGGGAGCTGTGTTCCCAGGTCAGAGCCCACCTCCTCTCCGGCTTCTCTTCTTAACGAGCTGTCACGGCGTGCTGTACCGGGTGCTCCTGCTCCTCCAGTTCCCCGTGTGCCCGTGTCCTCCTGGACGTGCTGCTTTCCTCCACTTCCTCTAGACTCAGGAAGGCCTGGTCCTGCTGCCCCTCACTGAGCTCCCTGTACCCCTCTGAGCAAGTGTCCCATTCCTGTCGGTGTAGCTGAGTCAGAGCAACATTGGAATGCTTTTCAACCAACCAGCGCTGAGTCCTTCCCAAGGGTATGACTCCAAGTTAGGCGACAGAGATGCCTGCAGGCTCCGGTTTTACCTTCATGTCACATCGGAATCCTGCCACTGAGATAGAACTAGAGCTTGTGAAGTGATGTCATACTAAGTAACTGTCGAATTAGACACAGTGTCTTTGGAATCAGAGGAGGGGACAGCTGGAGATGGACCTTCAGGGCAGAGGCTGCCGGTACAAGACTGTGTGATTGATTGATGGTGGTGATGGATAGCACGCTTTATGGGCAGTCTTGGTGCTGTGTGCATCAGGACTCTTTCCTCAAGCCCTGTCCATGAGGTACCGTTGTTTGTGATGAGGAAGATGGTGGTTGTGAGGTCAGAACATGGCCCAGGGGTTTGTTCTCGCTGAGCCCTATCCAGCCTCCCGACTTCCCCTTCCGGACTCTCTTTCACCACGGTGCCTCCACTGTCTGGATCACTCGGCAGAGCTGAGGTCACCAGTTGCACCCTTGGTCTCTTTGCTGATGGCTTCTTTGTCATTCTAGGACTTCTGCCATGGGCAAGTGATGTGGCCGCCCCTCAGTGCCCTGCAGGTAAAGCTTGCCGAGCCGGGACAGTCCTGCAAGCAAGTGTGCCAGGAGAACCAGCTCATCTGTGAGCCTTCTTTCTTCCAGCACCTCAACAAGGACAAGGACATGGCCAAGTGAGTGCGTTGGGCTGGCTGGGGTGAGGAGTGCAGCTAGCCTCTGTAGACGTCAGCTCACCTTCTGGGTTCGAGCTGGCTTGATATATATGAAGCTTCAGTGTCTTAGTGTGTGAGCTGCAGGGGAAAGGTGCAGGCAGGGAGCAGATTGCAGCAGGATCCCCGCTCCCTTCCCCAGAGAGGGCTAGCTCAGTGTTTTCATGGTTAGGTAAGATGACATCACCTGGCTTGCTGGTGTATTTAGAATTTGAAAGGGTGTGTTGTATTGCATAAATAAGGCCATACTGGGGTAGGATGTTATGGGCACTGTTTATTTTGCTACTGTTGCACCCAAGAACATGGGAGCCTGAGATCTTGTTCCCCCAGGGTCAGGGCTCATGGCTGCATTCCGAGATGGAGACCGAAGTGGGATTCTCACACAGCGTGACTGATTTCCAGCCAGGCAGGAGTTGGGGCTGGCCCTGTGTGGCTTCAGGCTCAGTTAGAGCTGTGGCTCTCTGTGCATGGCCTGGTGGTCTGAGCTGGCCTGGCCCTCCTGTGGTATATCCTCAAACGTGGTATAAAACTGGTTTTGGAGAGAGTATGGCCTCCAACCTCCGGCCTGCAAGGAGGCTCTCCTGATCCAGGATATGGGGGGCGAGGGGGTTCCTACTTTCTTTTTCTTTTTATTGGTGGACCAGGCCCAGAGGCTGCCTTGGGTCCGCTATCAGAACAAAAGCTCAGACCTGAAGAGGGACGTGGGTGTGGCACCCTGCTCTGACCAGGGAAGCTTTGTGAGAGCAGTGGGGTCTGACATGTAGGGCACCTCTGCTAGTTCTGGAAGCTTCAGTTCCACAGCAAATCCTGGATGCCACGATTCCACGAGGGCCTTTGTTCCCCTTGCATATAGCTTCTGGAACAGTGTGGCTTTCTGAGAACCCACACCGTCGCATTCCCGTGAGGGCTCTGAAGCCACTCAGTACAGATCCAAGGCTGTACACAGTGTGCCTGCCTCAGCCCAGCCCTGGGAGAGGAAACGAGAAGCTGCATCCTGGGATGGGGACCTGAGTGGGATTCCGGTATGGCGCAGCCTCCTTCCCACCCAGGCAAGAGTCGAGGCTGTCAGCCCAGATACCAGGCTCAGGGCCTGGCTCAGAGCTGGTGCAGGCCCCCCCATACAGCAACTCACCTGCAGGGCAAGGGTCTAGGTCAGTGGGGACAGGAAGGGGAACCAACAGCTGGGTAAGTGGCAAGTGTCCAGTTCCCTCTGTTCCCTCAGTTTCTGCATCTGTGAAATGGGCACATCCAGTGTTGGCGAGATAATCCGCAGCCCCTGCCGAAAGCAGAGCACAGTGGCCCCTTCTGCCAGAGAGCCTTGGGCAGCAAAGTAGGCCCCGGACCACAGGGCTGGGACAGAAAAAGCCAGCCCCCTGCCCTGACCTCCCTCTCTACTTCACATGCTGTGGAGTCCATGAGAGCAGAAAGACTTGGCGTGGGGCTGCCCTACAGCCAGGCCCCGTATCACAGGATCGCTCAGCCGCACCCCACTGCAGAGACTTGGATCTTCTTACCGGGAGGCTGGAATGAATGCTAATTTTGCAATAAAGCCATCTGAAATTAGTTCTCTGGACACAAGAGCCCTGCTGAATAACTTGTTGGTGCATTTGTAAATACCAATAATGTTGTCAAACCCAGCTCTCTGGCAGTTTATTGAGCGCCTCCTCCACACGGAGGCAATCCTGGCACATCCATATTCATGGCCAATTCGCAATTAGTGCTCCTCCAGGCTCATGCTTCTTTTCCTTCTCCAACTCGGGGCCCCAGTTCTGAGCCAAGCTAACGCTCCTTTTGGTCTGTGAGGGTCCACTGCCCTCATGATGTGTGTGAATTTAATGTATGGCATGAATGGAGCTTTTGGAGCATCCTGTGTGGTCTTGAGCAGGGAGAATCAGGCAGCTGGTCTCTGTGCCTGCAGGGTGCAGGCGAGTGCTGAGCGGCCACGGCGGAGCATGTGCAAGCAGGAGCAATGTCCTCTGGATACGACTCCACCCTGACTGGGTGTGGTGGCATACAGGCAGGGGACTAGAAGGTGGAGAGCCCTGGAGAGTGCCAGCGTCACTCCAACGTAGCCCCCTGGAGGACTTGGGCTCCATAAACAGAAACACGTATTCATGTGCCTACAATTTGTAATCTTGCCTCCTCTCAGAGTTGTATCTTCTAAACTTTAAATGGTGCTCTGAGCTGGCCTGGCCCTCCTGTGGTATACCCTCAAACGTGGTATAAAACCAGTTTTGGAAAGAGTATGACCTCCAACCTCTGGCCTGCAAGGAGGCCCTTCTGATCCAGGAGAGTGATTGGGCGGGTCTTGGTAGGGACAGGGCTAAGCAGGGCCCTCTGTGGAGGGGACTGAGGAAAGGGGTCTCTCCAGGGCAGGGCACAGGGAGAGGAGTAGCCCTGCTTCCACCCAAAAGCAAGGGCCAGGTGTCCTATCTCTGTGTGACGGGGTTAGGGGGAGCCTAAAGTTCTTGGTCTAATGCCTATGGCTGGGGGGGGGGGGGCAGCCCCAAGGGCTTTGCTCCCTTTTTCAAGAGCTAGAAGATGTTAAGTGAGGCCTATGGGCTGCAGAAGCCCCCTCTACCATTCTGTAAGAAAAGCTCTTTCAGCCAACTAGAAGAGCCAGCATCGCTGGAGAAAGGAGAGGGCGGTGGTGCGCTGTGGGGGAGGGTACGCACATGTACGTGGGACAGACGGGCAGGTGGCCCTGGGCATCTAGGAAGTAGAGGTCTCCTAGGAATTGAGGACTCCCGGGCTGTGGAGGTGTCTGGTCTCTGGGTGTGTGCAAGCGACAAGGGCAAGTTGCGAGCCTCTCTGGTGACCTGCTCACTGGTTAGCACAGATATTGGGACAGGTTCCCGCATGCTAGTAAAAAGGAGGGTCCTTGGGGCCTAGAAGACACTCAGGCCAGGGAGCTGGGTAGTGTGTAAAGCTGGCTGGGGCCTTACCACCAGAAGTCAGTTGACCTTCAGGGATCTGCCTTGTGCATGTCCGCCTGGGGCTCTGGGAGGCGCCTGCTGCCCGAGCAGCCTCACAGTGCCATGTCTTAACTCAGACCACCTGCCTGGCATGCTGCCCTAGGACACGGTTCCAGACTGAGTCCAGGAGACCCAGGTAGGGCTTTTCACAGCTGCTGACAAGTCACCCTTGCCTGAGGGTCTGAGACTGTTGTAGAGATTTCCATACTCCGGGCGAGAGTGAGCCAGGCAGGTCCCTGAGGCGAGGTCTGGCAGCCACAGCAGCTGCCCTAGATAACGCACAGTGTAAGTCCGTCTACACACCAAGGCCCCCTTCCATGTGGAAATAATTGGGCTCTGGGTACCTCTTTCTTATTGCTGGCCACCCTGGATATCCTGTGAAAGACCTGGCAACCCCGTCTCTGACTCATTCTTCCTTTTAGGAAATCTATACAACTCCCACTTCCTGTCCTCTCCCTTCATGGCCCCGTGACCTTAACCCCTTGCACACAGCCCTCCCCCACTGCACTGACAGTAAATGTGCTGGGGTACTTAGAGCAGTCAGGGGCTCCCCTGGTAAGTGCAGGAGCAAGACAGGGAGCCCTGCTCTCCCAAGCAGGCCTCGGCCGTGGGTCTCATTGGCACAGGCAGGAGGACAGGACAGCCAGGGACAAGCCGAGCAGCAGAGAAGCTGGATCCCCAGCCACTGAGCGGAGCCAGGCTGGCAGCTCCAGAGTGCTCACAGGAGCCTTGCAGATGTGCTGGGAATTGCTGGACTCCTGTTAGCCAGTGCGTGGCAACAGGGCCCAGGCAGGCGAGTAGCTCCAGGAAGCCAAGGAGAGGCAGGAATACACACGAGAAGGCTGCTTCCCGTTTGGAAACACTCAGAAGCAACGGGAAATCCTCAAATTCCCTGTTCCCCTCCCTGGCTATAAGAAGGAAGACTTCCAAGATCAAAGCAAAATGGCGATGACTGATATGTGTACGTTCAGATCATCGGGCAAGGGAGGAAGGCAGCACAACCTATGCAGATGGGCCAGGGCAGGGCCACAGTGACACTGCCAAGGACCACGGTAATACTCGCAACTACCATGTCTCGACTGCTGACCCAGAGCAAGGTGTTCCAGAAACACCCCTTTAATTCTTGAAGTTCAGGATTACGTACCTCCTCTAACAGAAGAGAAAACTGAGCCACAGAGAGGCTCAGTCATTTGTCTAGGGACACAGCTCCTAAGAGATGAAGCTAGGACTCAAACCCAGGTCTGTTCATCCCCCTTACATGCTCTCCTCTGAACTCGGGCACCATACCATCCCCACCTGGTACTCGTGCAGGGCCCCAGGGAGGCCCTAGTCTGGGGAGCCAAGGTGGGTGGCAACGGCGCGTACCAGGTGAGAGGGAAAGGTGGCTCTTCTGGGAATTAGAAAATCCAGGATATTCTCGTCCCCCAATCAGTGGTCCCAGTCCAGGGGAGTGCAGCCCGGAGGAGCCCCAGCCCACAGAGGGCTAAGCTGTTGTGGAGGATGGCGGGGAGCCAGGGCACAGGCTCGGGAGTGGGGCCTGGATGCCTCTCTGCCGTCCTGAAGCCACAGCCCGCTTGTCTCTAACCGGGGGTCACGGCTGCTATGGTGGACGGTGGCAGCGGAGGCCTAGTGATCAGTGCTCCGGGACAGCCCCTTCTACCCAGTTCTCCCCAGTGGGGGGGGGGGACAAAGGCCCTGTAATAGGAGTCTCCTTAAACTCTTCATGAAATTGTTACATGTGCTGATTTTTTCAAGACGGAATCTCACTGTCTTGCAGTCCTCTTGCCTTAGCCTCCCAAGTAGCTGTGACCACAGGCGCGTGTCACCGTGCCCAGCTCTTTAGAGTGGGCCAGGAATCAAACCCAGGCCTCCCACATGGCCTCAGCCTGCCAAGCAGCAGCATCTACCAGCACGTGCTACCAGAGCTAGGCCAAAAGAAAAGGTTAAACAGACTTGGAAAAGATATTTAAATAGGCACAGCGTTGTCCCAGTCTCACTCCTCAAAAGCAGTCATTGCTAACACTCACGAGCTGCCTTCATGACCTTTCCCACACACGCACACGCACCAGGGTGGTGGCACTGGACGACCTGTCCCGGAGCTTGCTTTCCCCCGGACGGCTTTCGTGCTGGTGCATGCATTTCTCCCATAATTGATTTGGCCGTTCCCCTCTTGGTGAATATTCAGGTCGTTCCTAGTTTTACTCCATTGTACCGTACTTCACGGAGCAACCTTGAGCACACAGCTCTGCACACGGGGCCTGGCACAGACCTGCCTTTCTCAAGCCTAGGTTCCTGAGAGAAATAGAGACTTTCAGGGTCAGAAGGGGCACCCTTTTGTTTTTTAAAGTGGAAGAACCAAGTGTCCCTCTTAAGAGGTAGGCTGAAAGGGCTCACAGCAAGGACAAGCTCTGTCCCCTACATCTCCAACCCAGGTGCCTTCCTCTTCCTCTCCAGGTATGCGGTGACCTGCCAAACCTCAGAGCTGGCCAAGGACATCCTGGTGCCCTCCTTCGACCCCAAGGACAAGCACTGTGTGTTTCAAGGTGACCTCCTGCTCTTCAGCTGCGCAGGCGCCCACCCTAGGCACCAGCGGATCTGCCCTTGCCGGGACTTCATCAAGGGCCAGGTGGCACTCTGTAAAGACTGTCTATAGCGGCCACCTGCTTGGCCCCACACTCGTTCTGCTGGGGAAGACAGTGGCTCCAGCCCCTTTGGGCAGGGCCAGGGGGCAAAGGTAATTCAGGGACTCAGGCCTGAGCCTGAATTATGTGGTCGAAGGTTTCGATTTGGTATCGCTCCCACTGCGGTCAGAGCATCCCAGCGGAGTTTTCACCAAAACAAGACGAGCAGATGTCAGGCCGGGAGCCTGGCACGTCGTTTCTATTTTTTGAGGAGCAACTGTGGGGAGACTCTGTCGGTTCAGCTGCTCCAGGGTAAAAAGAGAGTCTCGAGATTCACTTAAAACAGAACAAGAGGAGAAATGGAGCTGGTCGGAAAGAACTCTGAATGGGAACATTCCTAAATCCACTAACTTATTTATTTGGGGGGGGGGGGGGGGGGGGGAGGGGGGTCGAT